TCACCCTTGTACTCATGGAATTAAGAGATAGTCATTAAATAAGTAGCTGTATCAGTTATAATGCCTGTATAGCAGGCACTTGGGGAATCTACAATAGGGAGAGTGAACATGATCTGTAAGTTTGGAAGACTCTAGAGAATGAGAGTCTCCTACCAAAAAAGCATGGGAGGATTGGGCCCCAGGAGGCTTATCTCCCCTCCCACCTGGATCAGTGTAGTGACTGTCCTAACTTGCCTCCTCTGCATTCACTTTCCCGTTTCCTCATTTTGTAGCAGTTGGATGGATTGGGTGACACTAACAGGCACCTAGCTCAAGTGGTAGCCTTCCTCTGCTGTGGTAAGTAGCTCAACAGTATCACATGACCTGGGCTGACTTATCAGAGATGTCCAGGGTTTTTGCTCCAAGGGCAGGATGACCATATGACACTGTGAGAAGACAGGAATCTAGGGATCAGCCTCCACTTACTGTCACCAGATAAGTGGCCAGGCCTCCTCTCTCACGTGACTCCCAGTTTACTTTGTACTTCAGATTTTTGTTTGTGCTTTATCCTTCTCTCTGCCCATCCAAATATTATTCGAGATGCATAAAGCTTAGTTCAAAACTCTTCCCTGAGCAAGTCACCACTTCTTTCTCACATCCACCCCATGAAAGCCCCCCATAAGTGTCACTTAATTTTCTACTTTAAATTCCCCAGAAGGAGTTATTCCCCTGGGTGGTGATTAAACATACCATTTGTAGACCAATAACTGGTCTATTGGTATTTGGTTCTGGATCACCTGGTGGGGAGGTCTGAGGATGGCCTCTCCCACCAGGCAGCATAAAAGAGGTAGTGCTCTGGCCTAACTGGGAGTCAGGAGACCTGGGTTCATTCTGGTTCCTCTGTAATAAGCAATAAACACTTGCTATTACTCTTTAGCTCATAAACTGGTTTAATGGGCATTAGGTTTTTATTCTCAAAGTAACTCCATGAGATAGAGGTTAATAAAACTTCACCTTACTGGTGAATACACTGGGGCCTCAAGATGCTGAGTGATTTCCCGAAGGCCCCAAATGGAGAAGCTAGTGGGTCCTTCTGTCTCAGAGGCTTGCGTTCTTCACACTACTGGCTTGCCACTTACCACTTTGAGTTTCAGTAGTTTCAACTCTCATAGAGAAAAATAACCTTTATTTGCCAAGATTTGGGGTGGCTGAAGGGTGGATGTGGATTTGAAAGCATTTTGAGAAGTACAGAGCCGTCTGCCACACAGTGGGAGGTGGGAGGGAAGGGCAAGGAGCAGGGTTTATGAGACAAGCCTTGAAAATGCTTCTCATTTTTAATTCTCATTTCCCTAAGGATGGGTAGAAGTGAAAAACAGAGATTTCTCCAAACTTTGGATGGCTTCTCAGCAGGATGAGCTTCTCAGAAGGTGGTGTGGAACCTAATCCTTATAGACCATTCACTGGCTAATTCACAGCAAAATGCCCAATCACCATGCATGGTGAGATTCGCAGCAAATGCTCCCTGCCAACCTGCCTTTGGAGGTGGGGGGCGCTGGAGCAGGAGACCCTCTGCCTTCTGTCCTGGCCAAGACTTAGATGTTCTGACATCAGGAGAATCAGCTTTAAGATTGTTCACAACAGGAAGGGACAACAGCTCCTCCCCTTTGTCACTTACCTTCCTCTGGGTTATCACTTCCTCCACTTTAACCTGTTTCCCCCCACAAGACTTAAGATGAGTGGAAAGGTGGGGGGTTGAGTGTCTCAGTTGGTTAACCGTCCATTAGAATGTTCCAGCACATCTTCTTCATGGAACCAAACCCTCTCAGAGCTGGGAGAAGTCTTAGGGACTATTTAGTCCTATCCCACCTCACAAATGAGGAGACTGATGCTCCAAGGGTCCCGGTGACATGCTCTCAGTCACTGGAGCCAGGACTCCTAAGGCAGGGCTTCCCAAGATACGCCCCTGCCCCCCCTGAGGTGGGTGACAGTGCCTCAGTGTGTCTCTGGAGAGCTTAGAGAAAGAATAGGGGTTGAGAGATGGGGAGGGGTGCTGGGAAGGAGCCTGGGGAACTCCTCTTCCAACAAGGAGGCTTCGACTCTGTGCAGTAGTTTACATGTTTGATTTTGCATAAGATTGTGTTTCATAAAAACAAACTGTTGCTTAAGAAAGAAAAAACCAAGTTTGGAAACTACTGTTTATTACCCAACTTCTCCTTAACTAACGTGCCACATGAAGAGAATTTTAAATCAGCACCATGTCTTATGTATGTGGGACAGAGGTTTGCAAAACCCCCAATTTGTCATACACCTTTGTTAAGACCCTAACCCTAACCCACCACATTTGCATTTGAGCTCCCTACTGCTCTGCCCCTCAGTCATCTACATTCCCCACTGCCTCTTCTGGTCCTGTTCAACATCTCAATACTTGCTCAACCACTTTTTCTGTTTTCCTTTTTTTTTTTTTTTTGGAGAGTGGTGGTGGAGGGACAGAGGGAGAAAGAGAGAATCTTAAGCAGGCTCTGTGCCCAGCGCTAAGACAGACGTGGGGCTTGATCTCATGATGGTGAGATCATGACCTGAGCTGAAATCAAGAGTTGGCTGCTTAAGTGACCGAACCACCCAGGCGCCCCATGTTTTCCTTTTTTAAATTGTCTCCTCAGTGTGCCTGGGTGGCTCAGTCGGTTAAGCATCTGACTTCGGCTCAGGTCATAATCTTGGAGTCTGTGAGTTTGAGCCCTGTGTCAGGCTCTGCGCTAACAGCTCAGAGCCTGGAGCCTGCTTTGGATTCTGTGTCTCCCTCTCTCTCTGCCCCTCCCCTGCTCACACTCTGTCTCTCTCTCATTCTCTCAAAAATAAATAAATATTTTAAAAAGTTAAAAGAAATTGTCTCCTCAACACCACTGTATCACTTAATCCTCATAAAATCTGTGAGGGAGATGTAGAACATTGTGCCCATTTTCCAGATGAGATTACTGAGGGTGCAAGAGCTGCTCCTTGGCCCCTCTGAACTTGGCCAGGGTGGTTTCTTTTGGTACATCCACATCCTGAAAATGGAGTGACCTGCACTTCTTGGGCATTTTCAGTCCCTGCCTTGGCCTCAGGTAGCTGGAGACGCAAAGAATCTCAACAGCTCTCATGGGGAAGATTCAGCTCAAATATACAATTACTGAGTATTTCTCCAGTGTCCAGTACAGTGTCAGGTAATTGGGTGTGATGAAAAGAACACTAGCTTTGGAAACTCAGTCTCTACTCTACTTTTTAACAGCTGTATGATCTTGCCCAAGATCCTTACCTCTCAGACTTAAGTTTGCTCACCTAAGAACAGAAGACAATAATGTCTACATAGACTCATGAGGACATGGTATGAAAAATGCCTTGGCTGTAGTAGGAGCTTAATAAATGTGATTATTACTGTACTTGTTTGGTATTTGATATCTCATTTAAAACATAACAATAATTCTGCAAATTAGGTTATGTACTTGTGTACAGAGGCTGAGTACCTTACTCACAACAATACTACTAGGTCAAACCCAGGAACCCTTGTCCAGGGCCAGGACTGCTTCCACTATCCTGCCCATTAGAGGCTCTAGGACAATCTTGGGCTCCTTTCAACCATGGGAGGTGTAGCACACAGACTGTCCGCAGCGTCCTGGAGCAGGGATATACAGGTGTGCCCTGCTTGCCCACAGCTTAGGTTTCAGGTGGGCACCTGGGTTTGAAAAGCCCTGCTGTACCCCCAACCCCCCACCACTTCGTATTTTTCAATTTCCACTTCTGATTACTATTTCTATTCAGAAAGTGGTTTTTAAAGCAAAAGTCTATTCTAGGACCACCTGCTTAGAATCAGGAGCTTCCTAAAAACATGCACAAATCTAATGAATTCAAGGAGGGTGAGAGTCTGCAGATGCTGAACACTTAGTGAGGCCAGGAAAGAACTGGGCACACCTACTGACTGTGTGGTGTTGGGCAGGTCACTTCAGGCAGTCCTGGGGTGCCCATAAATGTGTCAGCTATGCCAAGTCCTCAGATGGAGACCTCATGGGGGTTCCCTGTGAGTTTGATGACCAGAAAGATATTCCTAACTTATGGAGACTCAGGTCCTTTCTGAGAGCTCTGAGGATAGTAAAATCTTCAAAGAGTAGAATCCTTGCAACAGGAGAAGAAGCACTTTCAGTCCTTCATGATATTAAACATAAAGTGCCTACAGTAGAAGCTAGTTTTCTAGGTAGACACTGATTGAATTGTTCAGGTTAAGAGAGAAAATTCAAATCTTTCCTGCCACTAATATCCTTGTTAGGCACAATCATTTAAAATATCTTTCTAAGTATATTTAAAATCTATTATTAAATATGGACTTATAAGTATTTAAGGTATATATTCATAAATAAATAAATATACACCAGCATGATCTCATTTTGATTTTATTTAAAAAATTTTTTTTTAATTTAAAAAAATTTTAAAATTTATTTCTCTGAGAGAGAGAGACAGCATGAGCAGGGTAGGGTCAGAGAGAGGGAGACAGAATCTGAAGCAGGTTCCAGGCTCTGAACTAGCTGTCAGCCCAGAGCCCAATGCGGGGCTTGAACCCACGAACAGTGAGATCATGACCTGAACTGAAGTTGGATGCTTAACCGACTGAGCCACCCAGGTGCCCCCACATTTTGATTTTAAAGTTGCCTTCAAAAGGAAGGAAGCCTGAAGCCCAGAGAAGATAATATTCTTTATTTAATCCATGGCAGAATCTGGGTTAGAACCCAGGTCTTTCTGATACCCAGCACCCCTTCTTTCAGCCCTTCCGTCCCTGGGGCAGTCAGAAGGGAGGTCTGTCCTCAGAGTCATCTTTTCTCATCTCCCTCTAGTTTCTTCCTGTCCTCTGATTTAGAGATCACAAGATGTAAAATATAATATGAGATGAGGTAGCAGAGGTTCCTGGCTCTGAGTGAGTCCCAGAGTGGACCCCAAAGCCTAGAGGTATAAAAGATGGGGAAGGCAGTCAGGAGAACAGGGGGATCTGGACTCACCTGGGAGCTGGCAGAGAAGGATGAGGATGAAGGATGCTCGAAGACCAAGCATGTTGTTGTCTGGATGTGACTCACTAAACTGGTTCCACCTCCTTTGCACAGTGCTCTTACTCTCCTTTAGCTGACGTTTTTATGGGAGGGATCATGAAAGTGACATGTGACTATGTGCTGTCTCTTTTTCTCATGCTTGTTTCATTGGCTAGTTGGAGGATAAGAAACCAGGCTCGCAGAGGCTAGGAATTGATCAAAGCCATACAGTCAGTCTTTTCTTCTGTATTATATGATCTTTCAGATATTCAGAACAGAGGAAATGGAAGGAAGTAGAAGGTTAGAAGGAGGGAAAGAGGTTGGCATGGGGAATAATAACAATATTTACAGAGCTTTGCTAAATCCCAGGAGTATATACATTCTTTTTTTTTTATTCCTGTGAGATACTACCATAATTCTTATTTTCTAGATGAGAAAATGAAGGCTAAGACTATATTACAGCAAAATTAAAAAGTTATTTTAATTAAAAGAAACCATTATGAGAGGCAAAAAGGCAAGCCATATAGTGTGAAAATATATTTTTAATACTTTAATTCCACAAGGGTCTTATATCCATAATACATAAGGAAGTCTTACATATCAATAAGAATTAGGCAGACAACCCAAATGGACAAGTGACTGAAATAGATACCTCATTAACAATTTTTTTAAAGTTTATTTATTTATTTTGAGAGAGAGACAGTGCAAGTGGGGGAAGGGCAGAGAGAGGAGACAAAGAATCTCAAGCAGGCTCTATACTGCCAGTGCAGAGCCCGATGTGGGGCTCACTCCCACAAACTAAAATTATGACCTGAGCTGAAACCAAGAGTCAGATGCATAACAATCATATGTGTGTCTCTCTAGTAATCACAGATCTTCAAAATACAAAAAAAACAAAAAAATTTCTCTGGGATAAAAGCCCAGGAGTATGATTGCTGGGTCATATGGTAAATGTATATTTAATTTCTTAAGAAACTGCCAAACTGTTTTTTAGAATTGTCACATTTTACATTCCCACTAGTATTTTGTGACAGATCCAATTCTTCTGTATCCTCCTCAGCATTTGAATATTGTTACTATATTTTATTTTAACTGTTTTAATAAATGTATAGTAATATCTTATTGTGGTTTTAATTTGAATTTCCCTAAAAGCTTATGATGGTGAACATTGTTTCACACACTTATTTGCATCCATTATATCCTCATGAAATATCTGTTCATATCTTTTGTCTGTTTTATAATAAGATTTTTTTTTACTGTTGAGTTTTGAGAGTTCTTTATGTATTCTAGATACAGTCCTTTGTTAGATAAGTTGTTTGCAAATATTTTCTCCCAGTCTGTAACTTGTCTTTTCATCTTCTTATGTCTTCTTAATAGGATCTTTTTGTAGAGCAAAATTTTAAATTTTGGTGAAGTCCAATTTATTAATTTGTTATTCTTTTATGGATCATGCTTTTGGTGTCATGTCTAAATATATTTTACCTAGTTTTAGGTTTCACAGGTTTTCTCCTATGTTTCTTTTTCCTAAAGATTTGTATGGTTTTATATTTAATATTTAAATCTCTGATCCATTTTGAGTTGATTTCGTATAAGATGTGAAGTTTAGATTTTTTGCATGAAGATGTTCAATTATTCCAGCACCATCTGTTGAAAAGATAATCCTTTATATTTTTAAATGATTTTGCAATTTATGAAAAAATCATTTGGCTCTACTGGCATGGGTATATTTTGGGGTTATCTGTTCTGTTCCTTTCATTTACATAATGTGATTATTGCTTTATTAGGGCTTAAGTCTGCCATTTTATTATTTCTTTGTTGCTGTTGCCATTCTTCTTTTATCTTCTTGGTCATTCTGTGGGTCACTTGAATTTTTTTAAAATTTCAGTTCACTATTTTTTTTTAAGTATTTATTTGTTTTTGAAAGAGAAAGAATGTGAGCAGGGGAGGGGCAGAGAGAGAGGGAGACAGAGGATCTGAAGTGGACTCTGTGCTGTCAGCATAGAGCCCAATGTAGAACTCAAACTCACAAATCATGAGGTCATGACCTGAGCCAAAGTCAGACAGTTAACCAACTGAGCCACCCAGGTGTTTCTTGAATATTTTTTATTATTTCATTTTGATTTATCTACAGTATATCTTGAGCAGATTTTTAAATGGCTGCTTTATGCATTTTATTATACATATATAAGTTATGGCCTATTAACATTTTACCAGTTCAACTAAAGTGTAAAACCTTACTTGTATTATATTCTTTCACTATTCTTTGCTAATAACTTATCTTAAATGTATCCTTTGTATACATTGAGGACCATGTAAGGTAATGTTATAGTTTTTGCCTCAGTTATCAAATATAATTTAGAAAACTCAAGAGGAGAACGGTAGTCTATTATATTTACCCATATATTTTTAAAAAAATTATTTATTTATTTATTTTGAAAGGAGGTAGGGGCAGAAAGAGAGAGGGAGAGAGAGAAAATCCCAAGCAGGCTCTGCCCTACATGGGACTCAAGCCCACAAACCGTGAGATCGTGACCTGAGGTGAAATCGAGAGTTGGACGCTTGACTGAGCCTCCCAGGTGCCATCTCTCCAGCTTTTAGAATTATCCTGTGGTTGTGTTTTATATATAATGCCCAGTATTTTTATCTGTACTTAGTGGGAAAAATAAAGAGAAATGTGTCTACCTCATCTTTTTTGGAGTGAGGAACAGTACCATGTGTTTTTACATCCTTTTTCTCTTCTGACTCCAATGAAATAATGGTGAAATCTTTAAAAAGGACTTTTTGTTAATTGGTGAAATGAATTCAACACAGATAACTTTTCTTATCTGGCTTGAGAAGCACAGTAATGATTGATGAAACATTTTCAAATCTATTGAAGTGGATAGCCTTGCTGAAAAGTAAGACGACAATTTCTGTGAATGGGAAACAGTGCAGAAACCCTCAATACATGAGAAAGGAGTGTATATACATCGAAAAGGAACCTTGATACCAAAATTATGAAAAGACAGGAAAAGAAAATTATAGACCTGTGTTAATTATGAACATAGTCACAAAGATCCTAAATGAAGTATTAACAAATCAAATCCAGTGATGTGTTAAAAATCTGTCATGATCTAATATCACTTATTCCAGGAATGTGAGAATGGGCCAATATTATAAACATTTATCAGTGTAATCCATCATATTGACTAATGGAAGCATAACATATGATTATCTCAGAAGATGTAATAAAATATTTGGTAAAAGTTAGTATTTACTCATAATTTAAAAAACAATTTGTTATAGCAAACATCATACGTAAGAGCTGAACCTTCAGAAGCAATACTGTCAAAGCCAGGAATAAGATAAGAATTGCTCCAGTTACTGCTACTATTCATTAATGAACTAGTGTCTTGGCCTGAGCAATGAGACAAGAAAAATAAATAAGATGTATGTGGTTTAAAAGAGGAGAGAAAAATTATCACTATATTCTGATCGTATCACTGTTGACATAGGAAATCCAAAAGAATATGTAGACAAATTATGAGAACGAATAATAGAGTAAACAAGGACTCCAGAAGACAACCATTATTTTACACAGATAATTTTTCTAACTTGGCTTACAGGTTGATGCTTTTTACAAATCTTGACTGCGTTTCATTAAGAGACAAAAAGGTATTCGCCCAATGTTACACAGAATTTTATTAGTGGAGTCAGAATAGAACACAAATGTTTTGACTTCAAGCCAGTGATTTTTCCATTATGAGACATCACCCATTTGTAAACCATATCACTACAAATGTGGAAATGGCAGGAAAAACAGCTTGGAAATACTGTGGTTTCAAATGTTGACATTCTTGGCAAACAAAATGAAGTTGGAGAGGAAGTGTTTCGTTGAGACTTATCCAGTTGTGGCTTCGAAGCAGATGCCTCCTTCTTATTTAGTTTCACTTTAGTGATTCCTGTCATGGCTTTGCTTGTCCTAGAGATGACCAAGCCAAAGTTTATGGGATGGTAGGAAAAGAAACTACTTTGATATAAGAAGTGGCAGAATTAGGCAGAATGACATCAGTGAAAACTCCTGGGACACCCCATCAAGACACATGTGGAGAGAGAAACTAAAAAAAAATTCAGCCTATGCTGAAACAGAAAATAACTGCTTTTGCAACATAAAACATATCAGCATCATGTGTTATTTAATCATTTTCTCATTTTAAATTGGCCCATGAGACTCCATTCTTTCTTGGTTGTCTCCTACCCAAGCCTTCTCATTTTCCTTTGCTTAATGATGCAAAATTTTTCCATCTATAAATATTGAAAAGTCTCTGGGTTTAGTCCTTACTCATTTCTTTATTTATCCCAAATCCTTAGTCAATTTCATTCAGCCTCTTGGTTTGAAATACCCAATTTTTTTTTCAGCTCTGACCTCTTTGCTGAATTCCAGGGTTGTATATCCTACCCAGGATCTCCATTTGAATGTATAGGAGGCATATCAAACTCGCCATGTACCAAATCAAACTCTTGCTTCCCTACCTTTTACCTCCTCCTCCACTTGTCTTCTTCATTTCAGTAAATTATAGCTCTAGTCATTAAGTTTTTCATGCCAGAAAATTATAATTACCTCGACTCTACTTTCTCATATCTTATATCCATTCATCAGCAAATTCTATTGTCTCTGCTTTGGAATATGCTCAGAACCTGACTGCTTCTTATCAGTCTTACCAGCCTTCACCACCACCATTTCTTGCTTACACTATAGCAAAGGCTACTTAACTAATATCCTTGCTTCTACTTTAGTCCCCTATAACCTATTCTTCACAGGTCACTAGAGTGATAGTTTTTTTTTTTTGACAGAGAGAGAAAGAGAGAGAGAGAGAGAGAGAGCGCGTGTGTGCAAGAATCTTAAGCAGGCTTCATGGCCAATGCAGAACTCAACTCGGGGCTTGATCTCACAACTTGATTTCACTACTGTGAGATCGTGACCTGAGCTGAAATCAAGAGGCAAATGCTTAACCAACTGAGCCACCCAGGTGCCCCTAGAGTGATGCTTTTTAACATGTACGCCAAATCATGTTATTTCTCTGCTTGCCAGTTGTTTAC